CCGGGTCGGACCTTCCCTGCCGAGGTCTGTGCGCCGTGTTCCATAGGCGCTGTTTGTTTTAGCCTGACTTTGGGAAAACGGCAATAAACATGACCTTTTTGTTTCGTGGGTCTAGACCGCAGCTGAAATCCGAGTAATGAGGTTTGGTTCTGTTGCTTTAGGCATGGTGTGATATTGCAGGAAGGTCAGGGTGAGTGTTTCACCAGTAGTTGAGTTGTTTCATAATACAAAATCTGTGTGTTAGAGTCTGCGAGGGTACAAATTCTGACTTAGGGCTTTAGGGCTAAATCTAAAATGATTTCATGTAAGTAAGAGGAATTAATTTAGATCTAGAGAGTTGACACCAAGACCTGTGCAGTGTGGTTGGGTTTTTTTTGTGATTTTGGGGTTTTTATGGATTTTCGTGTGTGTCTGTGTGTTTTGGAGGTTTTTTGGTTGTTGTTGTTTGTTTGTGTGTTTTTGTTTTGTTTAGTTGTTTTTTAAGTTTTGTTTTGTTTGTAACTAAATACTAAATCTCCAGTTATTTCCAATTGCTTGCCATTGCAGGCATCTTCAGCTAGGAGTCTTGGTCACTGTGAGCAATCTGTAGATCCAGGCACACAAGATGCATTCCACTTTTTGACTTTTCAACATCCATGTGTTTCCCCTTCTCATGCATCTCATCTCTTGCGCACTATGGGGAAATACTCCCTGAAAAATGATCCTTAATCCAAATATTTGTCCAAATTCTGATTTTCCATGCCTTGTAGCTGCACCAGTACACACTATAACTCTGAATGCAATGGTTTTATACCAAGTCCTGCGTGGGTGCATGAAGACATTGAATAACACTGTGTCTCATCTTTCATGCCACATTGTTCTGCATCATTGGTAAAATAAGCCTTGCAAGAAAACGTCTGCGCTCAAAACAGATGGCATAAGGAGCAGGTAAGGGTGCTGAGCCCATCCAGCAGTGCCCATCTGCTGCTGCTTACTTTGTTGTTTCTTCCCCTGCTGCCCTTGGTGCTATGAGCAGCCTAGGAATCATCATTATGGCAATTCTTATTTTCTGATACTAAAAATAAGAATTTCAGTGTTTCTGCTGTCCATGTTTTAAGAAGCAGGCAAATGAAGTTCACTTTTTAGTATTAGAAATTTCAGTTCTCCATTTTTGTAAGCTAATGAGAATTCATCTGCAGCAGCAGAGGTAAACATCTTTTTTTGAGGGAGCATGGTGTGAAGGGTCTGTGCCTGCTGTTTTGTCCTTCAGATGACACTCTCACACTGATTGTCAGCAGTACTGTCATTTAGAAGGAAGGAAGATTTTAGCTGTCTGGAACAAAAACATTTAAGTCTCTGATGCTGGATTTAGCAGCCTGACTTCTGATGACCCAGGGATTTTTGGCCCCAGCCTTGACCTTCGCAGTTTGTTTTCATGCAGGCCATGAAGACACATTCATGTATGAGAATGACTCACAAGTATGTTGTAGAGTGATCTGCTTATTGGATTGTGTGCATTGTGAGTGAGAAATCTGCGACATAGTTGTGCTGACCTTGCTCCAGGGAGTAATCCTTTTGACTAGCGGTTAAACACCAGGTGAAATACAGATTGACATTGCTGGCATGAATGAAGCTTTCCAGATAGGAACAGACAAATAGGAAGTATTTAAAAGTTCTAAATTATTAATTTGGTTCTTACTCGTGTTTATTTATATGATGTGCTGTTTAACAGAATCCTAAGTCATATCAAGAGCACATCTAGATTGTTTTATACAATGCAAAAACTTCATTTAATTTCGTTTATTGTTTTTTGACTTGTGAAATGTCAAGCTAACCTGCATGAAGTACTGCCAGTTTAGCAGTTGTGCTGAAGAACTTAATGCCTGTCAACTTTCATGGAACACCTGCAGCAGCAGTGAGACATTGATGAGCAGGAGGACACTTTGCACCTTCTGGAATGAGTCAAGTGTTCACCCTTTTGCCTTTCAGAAAAACTAATGGGTTTACCTCTGTGCAGCAGATAAATAAAGTTTAGAGAAATCTTCCTGAGTTTGTAAAAGCAGGGTGAGTCTGGAAGCCCTGATATTAATACAGAATTGCATTATTACAGATGTTAGACTGACCATGTGGAGCAGGTTAGCTTGTTCATTTACTTCTAATATCCACAGAGCACCTAAGAAGGAGAAATTACCACATTTGAATGTTAACATGGTGCTGCAGATCTGTCATACATCCTGAAGCTGGGAAGAGCTGAAACGTGTTTTTCCAGAAATGGGCAACAAAGTGCTGTGCCACCAAATGGTCCTTTTTTCTTTAGGCATTCAGACTCCTTTGCCAGTAGTGTTGTGCCTGTGTGACTGACAGAATATGGCTTCCTCCACATTTATGTACAGTTATAAAACTACTATAGTCACTTTGGGTGATACAGATTTGACAGTCTGGGGCATTTAAACACATTTGTTTTAAAATAGCGTGAGCTTTGTTTCCGCATGACTGCATTCATTGCATAATATGGCTCTTGTGAGGCACAGTCAAAACAGCTTTCAGAAAGTAATAATTTCTTAGGGAAAGAGATTAACATAAATTCTGGGAGTGGCCACGTCTGATGTTCCTTTTGAAACAACTGAATAAATGTGACTGACATTTAAATAGTATTTAAATATTAATGTGGTGATTTGAACCAAAAGCCTGCAGTATGGTTTATTTTCTACCATTGTATTCTGCTTTCGTGATTAACTTTGTCTCAATACCCAGACCAAATAACCCAATTTACACATTTCTATGTATATGTTTGAAAAAATGAGAGAAAAATGTTTGATATTGGAAGAAACATTTGAAGAAATGACTTCCACTCCATTCATCATTGTCAGTAGATCGTTAGATGCCATTACTTTAGGTGGAAAGTACTATGCTTCTGTCTTTAACAAGGCAACCTGTGAATGGCGCAGCAAGAGAATGACTCTGCGGGTTAATAAGAAGCAGATGAGACTCCTGCCTCGCTATGCTGTTGTCCACAAAGTTCTGTGGTCTTCCTAGGGCTTCTGTGCTAATTCAGAGCCTGTCTACACAGGTTCTCTTGTGAAAAAGAGAATATTTGGGTTCATCTGCCAGAATGTTTTTTTTTTAATTCCTTAGTCAGAAGTATGTAAAATGTTTTTCTCTGTATTGTATGACTCAGTCCACTTACTAAACAAACTGCAACTAACCAATTTTTGCTGTTCTCTGTTGATATTAATATTTTCCTTAATCGCTGGCACACTTTGTATTCATAGCATGTTCCTGACTGTCCTGCAGTGTTCTGTGGCAGCTGTGTTAGCTTTTCCAGTGATAGTACATAACCTGTCTTTTCCAGCTGACTGTGGTTGAATCTGTAGCAGTGGGTCTGCTTTTCTCCTTCCATGTTTCCTCGCATGCAAAGGTACATGTGGGAATTGGCCTGGAAAGCTGGGCACCGTTATATTTTTCTTAGTGCAAACGCTGCACCGTGTGTTGCTTTTGTGGAACTTAATGATCTCCCTTCTCATGTAGTGTGGAAACTTGTGAGCAGTCTGTGGACAGTAGAACAAGGGTGGTTTGCAGGGTGGTGTGGCTCTGAGGATAGAGCCTAGACAGGCTGCTAGAAACCTCTGCTCGAGAGGCAGGCACCGCTGGCAGTCTGTTGGCCTCTCTCAGTGTGGAGCACTACCTTTTGGGATTAAGGAAAGGGAGCAAAATTTTGATCTGGAAATAAAGACTATTTTTAGAAAACAATACTTAGCTGTAGAGGGGATTATTTCCGCAGCCGGTAGGGAAATTCCTGCTCTTTGTGCACTCTAGCTGATTGCCAGATACATTATTCACATTTGGCATCATTCCCATGCGTCCTTTTATTGATATTACATAACTGAAAGGGTGAAAATTGACTTTAATCTAAATTGCTCTTTAGTTGGATACTGTGTAACCCTTCTGAGTTGCTGATGGCTTAAACAGTCTGCGCCAGTTTTAAACCCTATTTCTAAATCGGATTGGAGGAGTGGCTGCTTTTTGTACTAAAAAGATCATGGCTTTTTTTTTTTTTTAAGATTTCTCAAACATCTGGAAAGTTCCTGTAGTAACTTTCCAACTGATGAATACACTTTCCATTTTTATATATGTATATAAAAGTTGGAGCACTAAATGATACCCATCTCTAAGTTTTCTCCCAGCAATGTCTGGAGGCAAAGAATACCCATAGATGCTGTGTTCAAAACACAGCATGCACCAAATTTTTGTTTCATATCTTGACTCTCATCTTAACTGGAATTATTGCATAGCCAGGAAGAACTGGACGCTCTTGGTCACTCATGCAAAACTGTCTTTGAGTTTTAAATGTGTCCTCATGACTAGCATACTGATTGATAGCATGCTGCATAAAGTGCTGGAGCAGCATAACCAATTCTATTTGAAGAAGATTTTGCAGAGGTTACTGTGCAGAAAATTCTGTACTTTTACATAGCTCCTAATTGCAAATGGAAGGGAGGTGCTGGGTTGGTCTGACATGGTTCTTGTGAAGGATGGAGACTTGAGGAGCTGGAACATTGACTCTCATGACCCAGTAGTGTACCAGTGAAGTCTTTGGCTTTTAAAAGCTCGACAAGAGGGACGGAGTTGAAAATCTGCTTTGTGGGCCTGCTGCTCTGTGAGAACATGTGAAGAGAAGCTGTATGGGCAGCATTTAGTGGGATGTGCTCTGACTCACGGCCCTCTTACCAGTGAAAGTCTGTGGTATGTTCAGGGACAGCCAAAACATCCTCCAAACCTCTTACCTTAGAACTAAAAGGTCTTCCTTCTGCTGCTTTCCAGAAACTTCTGTGGCTCTGATTCTCTTCTCAGGCAGTGGCTCCTGATGGACAGTGGTGGTACTTATCCTTTCTTAAGTATATGTAGATAATCAGACGAAGGAAAATTGAGCTACAGCGTGGCTTTATTGCAATGATGTTTGCCACAGCACAATTACCTTGCTTTCAGTGCTTATCTAATCCTGCACTTAATCTTGGAGACAAAATAGTAGTGTTTTTATAATCTGAGGTTATAGCACATCACAGGAATCCATCCAATCTGTCATAGAAGTGCCAGAAGTTAAAACTAATTATTTTTTTCCCTCCCCAAGCAGAGAAAAAAAAAATTGCTATTTACTGTGCTTACATTTTTCATAAAATTTCCCTTTACGGAGGCTCTACAGACCTGCATGGTAGAAAATTGAAAATTATAAGTGGTTGTTTGAAGTTCAGCATATTTTCAGTTTGTCTGTAGATGGAAATCACTGTGATGGACCTGTAGAGAATGATCTGTGGGTATGTATTTGCACTTGATGTTCCTGTGTCCGTGATGGAGGACGTATCTTTATAAATAAACATATTTAATTTTTTTTTTATTCTGTAGACTGAAATTGGACTGACGTAGTTGTTGCAGCGTCATATGGTTCACACTGAGTGCAGCAGTTTGCGCTCACCTTCTTTTCCCATCATCGTTTCTCCACAGAAAGGGAGTGTTATTTGATCCCAGCAAAGGTGCTGCTGAGGCAGCAGCAGTATAACCTTGTGGTTTGGTGTGATGCCAGAGGACCTTCTGAAAGAACAAGAAATTCTCATTTGGCTATTGCACCTCTTACTAGAGGAAGGCTGGAGAATTGAATGCATATCTCTTTCAGAGTAGATAGGTCCCACTAGCTGAGATCCTTGTCAGCATTTATGTGATTTTCATCAGGCTGTGTTTTGGTCTTGTGTTCCTTGGATTTGTTATCACTGTCAAAAGGGGTTGCTATGCTGAATTCTTTGTAAGCAGAAATTTTAAAGTAGAGAAAAATTACTGGTTTTCCCTGCCTTTTCCTCCACAATTATATGGCAGCAGACTGTTAAAATATTTATATTCCCCTATGCCTCCATCATATTTCTTGTGGATTTGAGTTTGATGTTTTTAATAACTTGTGTTATTTATACATCAATTGTTACTCTTTTTGATTGCCTAATTTCCAGTTTCTATTGGCTGCAAAACGTCTTTGCATGTGAAGAGTTTATCTAAACATTTTGATATAGAGCTTGTTTTTCACCTTTGGGATATGAAATTCAGTGGCTGTTGTGCAGAAACACCAGAGATACTGTTTGTCTTTCAGTTTAAAGTGCCATTAAGCACTAGACATCACTTTGTTCTGCGTCTTTGCGAAAGAGTGCAGGAAACAGGTTGGAAGGAGAAAAAGTTTCGTTAGAGATAAAAACTGGGGTTTTTTTTTCTCTAGAAAGAAAATTTTCCTGCAAATGTTCATTTAGTCTTTTATGACTTTCAGTAGACTAACAGGATTTGCTCTTTTAAGCAACACTTAGGCAGATAGATATTACTGCCGAGTTCTTTTCCAATCTGTACACTTTTCAGCTTTAAGGTCTGTGCCAGAAATTCCTTTTCATGCAAAATCAATCTAGATGCAGAAAACCAATTAATAATTCATAAGGTATAAATGTCAAAAATAAATGGTGTTTGCCTTTCCAGATGAGTCACTTAGAGCTTGTCTGCCTTGGAAAGTTATGGCATCGTAATCTAAGGGCTGAATTGGAAATGCTGCAATTTTACAAGTATAACTCTGCAATGGATGGGTTTCTTTCTGCTTGTAGAGGAACAGCTTTTCAACTTAACTGGGTTTTTTTGAAAAGGGAATTGAGGGCACCAGACTAAGGCCTATCCTTCCACTGCAATGAAAGTGTGTGCACAGAACTGGCTAAAGCATGAGAGACAACCAACTAGTGTATTTTTCTCTACTGTTTCACTATATAATTTTTTTTCCCCTGGGAATGTTATCTTTGTCATCCAAACGCAGTTAGCTAAAACTGTTGGTTGCTTCATCCCATTTCTTGCACTGGTCAGGAATGGATGGAATTTAGTTTTATTTTCTACTGTTATGAAAGGAATTAAGAACTTTTAAAACAGATCTGAGGCATGAAGAATGTTCTAACCAAATGCAAACATTTTTAGGAATCAGAACGTTTGAATGTGGAAATGTGCCTTGATGTGCACAATAACCATGAGTGCACATTTACTGGCTAGACTCCATCATCCAAGGAGCCTTTCTCTAGTATTAACAAATGGAAGTTTGTCTTTCAGGAAGAGTGGTTGGATCTTATGTTATTATTTGTACTCTAGATTTGGGTTTTAAATATGCACACAGTATTCTGAGGCTGGCAGGGAATCTTCCTTTCTCACAAAATTGCTGAAAAACGTATTGCCAAATATGAGACGAATTCACCACTCTCGGAAGTGGATGTGACTGCTGCAAGTTGTAAACATAATATACCTTTCTTCTAGACTGTCAAAAGTATAAATAGGTAAAATATGAATTTTTGAAGCATGGGAAGGTGTAATTGTCTCAGCTGAAAGCTGAGGGAATCTTAGGTAAATTATATAAATCTTTAGCTTTTCAATGCAGAAAAAAATATTTTTTTCCTCTATTAGACTCTTTCTGTTTTGTTTCACCTGTGTAAGATGCTGCAAAAAAAGGCATACAGGAACAAAAGTTAAGTTTTGCATGGTAGCAATGGAATTTTCTTGCTAGAGAGAGTAGGAGCCAAAAATATGTATGACATCAAAACATATAAAATACCAAAAGAATGATAAGGTTTTTTTTGTTTGTTTTATAATATTATCATTCAGAATATGTAAGTCAGGGTGGTTTTGGACTTGTGACTTTTCAAAGGCCTGAACTGGCATGTTTTAGGAAGGCTGCTCTTTTATAGCCAAAAATCTGTAACACTTGAAATAGAATAACAAAAGCTCTACAGCTTCTGGAAAGTATCCTATTTTTTTATTTAACAGTAGACTTGGGCAGAAGTAAAATACTAGAAAGGAAGATGAGTGAGGATGAAAGACTGGAGAGGTCCACAACAGGGATCCTTGAAAACTGAGCAGAGGTGCACTGTCTGCTCTGGTATGTACGGGTGGTGACTGACTGGAGGGAGAAGGAATGGCAGATGTTCCTGAAGGAAGCTAGCACTTGCTGTTTCCTGCTTCATTAGCCTGCTAGCTGCAGGATTCCTGTTCCTGATCTGGACACAGTGATAACGTATACTGTTCCAGCCCAGGAGCAAAGACAACTGTTCCCAAAGCACAATACAGCTTAAGTATCACCAATGGGTTAACGAGGTCAGCATGAATTTAATGGCGTCTGTCAGTATAGGCGGAATCAAATGTCACTAACGAGGGGAAAAGGTAACATTGTTTCTAAGATGACAACCCCAGCTGTTACAGATTTCCTGTCTCACAGGGAGAAAGAATAAGGAAGAGGCAATTGTCCTCTGCTGCTCTGATTTCAGGATAGTCTTTTAACAAGAACTGCTGGACAGCCACTGAAAAATAAGCTTTCCATGACTTAGTGCTTTTTTCTTTCCCTAGGGAGAGTTTGCTGTTCTGAGTAGACTGACAGAGCCTTTATATTTTGTGTGTGGAAAGTTTCCCCAGCGCTGGCTGCCAAAGGTTCTGCTAGGTTTCTGCTAGATCAGCCAAGTCGCTGCATCAGGTCGGTGACTCATTGGAGCAGTGCGGTGCAGCCCCAGCCCTGGCGGGCAGAGCCGAGCTCCGAGCTCCCAGCTCTGGGCCAGCGAGCTCGAGCTGCGGCCCCAGGGGCTCCCGGTGACTCCAGTACCCGGCTGGGCTGCAAAGTGCACTGACACATACTGGCTATGCAGATGTATAGCTTTTTGAGATGAAAGGCAAGGTTGTTCCAGTGTGTCTTCCTTGTCCATAACCATAAGGAGGGGAATGACCCTTGTACTTCAACAAGAGAAAGCATTGTTGCAGACTCTTGAGGTGAGTTTCAGTATATCTGCAAAAAAGGAGCTGTCCTTCTGCTCTGTGCTGTTAAGTGACTAAACCACATATGATCTTGTTTGACAGAAGAACATAAGTCTCTGGACATGTGTGCAGTTGTGGCTCTTGAGGCCCAGAGAGTCTCGAGGGCAGAGCTGGGCTTTGGCTGTCTTGTTTCTTGATGCACAGCCTGAATGTATTAGCCAAGAAAGGAGATGAGCATGCTTGGGTTGAGCTTCTGACTGGAGCTTGCTGGTTCCACTGCAGAGTCTATTCTAATAATAAAAATAAGTTTTTGAGATAAAAACAAGTTGAAGTTTGGACGGACTTCTATTTGAAAATGTCTGCCAGACTATACGAGAAAATTTACGTGATGCCCAGTGGCTGACCTTACACTTATGTCTTTTGGGCCGATAGGATAATTGCTCATTTACCCTTCTCATCTTAAGAACAAGACCACTTCCCAAATTATGTATTTAAATCAGCTATATGAGATTTCTAGCAACTTTTATAAAATGCAGGCTGTCTTCCTGAGCAGCTTTGAAAGCTTCTCTAGAGACATACAGATATGGTGCTGTTATATCTTGCTCTTTGTAAAAGACTCTTTCTCTCTTTTCTTCCACAGCACATTGGAGCAAGAGAGATTTGAAAATTTAATGAAGCTGCAATAAAACAGTCTATTCTAGTTCCATATTTTTCTCATTTCTGTTTGCAGATTAGCTATATGTGTGCTTAGGGAAACTTCTTGATCTGTAAACAGATTGACTGCTGTAGACTTTTTTTCCCCTGATTTCGTCCTGATATTTCTTTAAAACCTTTGGAAAATATTGTTACAGTAAATTGCATTTCCTTTAAATGCTATATTAATTTTCTTGCAGTAAAATTAAAGTTGGGAAGGTAAATTAAGCAGCTGAGGGAGAAGCCGTGGATGTCAAATGAGCTGTTTGTTAAAGAATGAAGATCAGATCAGATCAGGAGTATAAGTCACAGCCTTCTGGATGGCTGAGCCAGAGGGCTCTGGGATAGGAGTTTAGGGCTCTTGGAAGCCCTTTGGAGCATGTGATGGAGCAGGTAGCAGGGAGCTGCAGTAAGTGGGGAGAGTGGGATCAGGTGTTATCTTTGTATGCTGTGTTTTAGTAATTTTATTAACACGACACTGAGGACTTAACAGAAGAGAATGGGATTTTTTTTCTCCTATTCTCTATTGCAAGGTCATGAATGTAGTCATGGTACCACAGCACCCCATGGCTGTATCACTATCAGAAGTCATCAGGTGTTTGGTATGTTCCTTGAAAGTGACTGGGTCTGTGGTTATAGGTTTAAGATGTGAAATATTGAGGCTTTAGAAGCATTAACAAATATGGACAAGATAATGCCAGCTTGCTCCTTAGTATTCCCAGGTCAGAGATGAGAGTGCTTTAAAATGCTGTTGCTCTGTTTTTGCTTTTGAGGTTTCTTGCTATACATTGAAGAAGAAAGTAGTAATGATTTCTGGTGCCTGTGCTAAGCTACAGAGAAGACTTGAGAGAAAGGTATAGGAATTCTGTTCTATCATATCACAGAGGAACCTAAGTTTGACAGAAAGTCCCAGGGAAGAGTGGAAGTGGCAGGAGGAAAAGATAAAGTATGTTTACAGATACTTTGGTTTCCTGCCACAGCCCTCCTGAGCCTGAGCCAACAAGCAAAGCTCTGCAGTGCCCTCTTCTGCAACCATTTCTTTTCCCACATCTCTGCTGCAAAGTGACCAGGAGGGCAGGAAAAGTGACTTTTTGCTCATTTTCTGTGCCATTCTTCTATATCTGAGGAATTTCTGGTAGGGTTTGTGGGCTTAGTTTCCTCTGCAGCAGGTCAGGGTGATCAAGGAACTGAGACTTAAGCAATTAATTTATTGTTTTTATTATTGTGAGTCCTTGGCTCTACTGAAGTAATGTGTTTGGTTAGCAGGCTGGAAAAGGTTGGGTTTGTTTTGGTACCTTATTTGTTTTTAAACAGCAAGAGTCCTGGCATTAACTATTGCTCTAAATAATAAAACAATGTAGTGTAGCTCTTAATTCTTTAATGTAATATTTTAAAAGATATATAAATCATTTAAGGAAAGCAGAAAGCATTTATGTATTATCACAGGTTTTGCAAGCAAGCAGTGCATAGTCAAGATTTACAAAAATTTTCCCAGTATTTTGTTTGCAAAGGAGACTTTATACAAATGTACAATGGAAGTGACCTTGTTCTTAGTATGAAACATTCACTAATGCATGTGGTATATGCCTTTACTGAGCACCAAAAATCATTCTGCAGACTAAATTCTGCTGATCTGCGTATTTTTGCTCATTTATCTTGAGCATTCAGAAATAATTTTTATCCAAGATTTTCATTATTATTATTAATAACAGTGTTTTAGCAGCATATAATCCCAAAAATTAAGGAGAAATTACAGAACCCAGGTGTTTTAAAATTAGTATTGCAAGAGCAAAACCTAGGGTTTCGTTATAACTACATGGTTTTAAGACTTAAGAGTTTTGAGGGGGAAACACACATAACAGCAGACAAATGACAGGTACTGCAAAGAACCATCAGTAATTCCTCTGAGCCATTTTGTCTTCTTCAAGTTTACCTCCTTTGAGAGCTGTTCCAGTTTGAAATGTGTTCTAGATCTTTGACAGTGTGTGATTGTGCCCCTCCCTCTTGCTTTCTTTCAGACAGAGTGAAGTAGCAGCTGACCTGAACTTCTGAGGCACTGTCTATATTGGAAAGTCACACAGTGCAAAAAGCTTGTGAAAATTGCAGGAAATATTCCAGTTTTAGATAGGTTTTTCTATGTCATGTGAATATTTAAAGTTTTTTTTTTCAGACAGTTGTGAAGAGCTCTCTGTTCAGCTGATGGGTTGACTTGAGTTTTAAATTTAGTAAATTGATTGACTACTACTAACTTCCTTTGCAGGCAAGGTGGTGGAAGATGCCAGAAGAAAAGTAACATCATCCACACAGAAAAGAAATCATGTGAATTTATGAATCAAGAGGGCATTTTAAGAAATGATGTAATAAATTAATGGATGTGGCAGAGCAGGTTTCTTTACCTTTATCTCATTTTAAAGAACTAGATTGTCTTTTTTGAGACACAGAAAACACGGGACTTTAAAGAGACGAGGATGGAACTCCTGAAACACTCCCTGTGATCTCTGGTGATCCGGGTGGCACTGCTGAATTGCCATCTAGGAGTGTCATCTTCTGGAAATCTGAGCTACTGGATACCCTGCTGCAGCCCTGATTGCTCACATCTCCAAGGTTTGAATAACTCAAACCAGGAGGCTGGTGATGAACCACTTCTGTGCTCCATCATGAGTTTTGATGTCTGCCGTAGATGGCCTTCACTAAGAAGTGAAGGATCCTTAACCACTTTCTTTTTGTGCACCCAGACATAAGCTAGACAGTGAATCATTGTAGTAACGAAGGGGTCTGCACTGGCAGTGCAAGCTTTGCTCAGAATTCCTCTCCCTGCTTTGCAGCACTTTTGTCTCACCAGTGTGCAAAAGATGTGATAGTGGAAAAGCAGCTGTAAACTCATGAGGAAACTGTGAATTCGTGATCTCTGGGTATGCCAAAGAGGGTAGCTGTTGTAAACGTATCCCTGATGGCAAATGTCTATTTATTCTGCTTTTTTTGCTTTGTATTTTTTCTGTATTTTCTGATCTGAGCCATTGCTACCATGCAACCAGAACCCAATGACTAGAGTGGTGTATGATCTTGGCTGATGCTGGTCTTGCTGAAGATACATACTGCCTAGATCCAACTTGCTAATTTACCCCAGTGTGCAGTGCTAGTGGGTAATGCTACTGCCATACCTGTTTATTGTCAGTGGTTTGAAATACCTGGTTTTAAAACCTCACTTTGCAGAACAAAGATAGACTTGTGACTTCTCCTTGACATGAAAACTTTGGTTTTGCTGTTGATCAAGTAATCAGTGGGACTGGAAGATCTGATGACTATAATCCACACTCAACAGGCGAAGCTCATTGTAGAAACTGAAATATTTTAGGTGAGTGTGGGAAGACGCTGGATTCTGCGTCTGGATTCTGCTGGATCCCTCTGAAGAGTCAAGAATAAGATGCCCCCTGGCTTCTGGAGGGTTATCTTTCCAGATACTTCCAGTAAAGCAATGCACTTCATCACAGCCATGTGCCATGAATTTTGGTCACCTTCAAATTCTTTGTTTGCTCCTCAGTCTTTTTTTGATGAGTGGTAGGAGAAAGATGTATATGTATAGTTATATTATATATGTATATATATCTGTAAATATATATATTTATATTAATTTTAAGGTCTTTTATTTAATTTCTTTGAAGCGTTGAAGATTTAAATGAAGAAAGTATTGGAATGGTATTGGAAAGGTAAATTTTAAGCACTGATAATGAGTTGATCATAATTCATCATCGTTTTTAAATCTGGGCTATTCAGCTATGCTTCCCGAAGTTCACACAAAAGCTTGATAAATTGTAATAAATACTGTTTCTCATGAATAATACTCGAATCAATCAGGGAATTTAGTTTTGCTAATATATGTGGGTGAGAGCCATTCTATATTTAAACTGATTGGTGTACCTCCTATTTAATCATAGCTTTGCTCATGTCATTATGTATCTGTCTGGTTCTGTAGAGTCATTGTGATCTCTGCAGTCTTGCTTGGTAGGGGCATGTGCATGGCAAAACTTCCAAGGCTGCATGGACTTTTGAAGTTTTCAGAAAGCCCTCTTTGTTACAGAGAGCCATCATGTAAAGTGGATAGTCTGGCTTTTTTCGCTTTAGATCTTCCTAAGGCAAATGTCATCATTGGTGTACTTTACTGTCATGCTGCAGAAAGAATGCTTCTCTGCACTTATGCAAACAGCCTTTGTGAGAGCTCTGTTCCTTCTGTTTACTTGTGTTTCTGGTGCTGTTACAACTTTTATTCCCATAAGAACTAATGACATCACTGAGCGGTGTTACAAGTGATTTCATCCTTTAATATGAACTAATCAGTAACACAGAGTTGTCCAAGGAGTAGACCACAACCTGAATAACCTGTGTTGTATTTTTTTCGGTGGATTGTCCAACAGAGTTGCACACAGCAAGATCCAAGATCATGCGTCTAAATAACAACACAGAGATTGCTTTGCCTTCAAACTGCTATAGCTGATGCTGCAAGGGACTGTAAAGATTGGTGTATCCCAGTGGAATCCTACAGCACTCTACCTGTGTCCTCACTGCGATGAGGACAAAACTAGATGGTGACAGACACTTTATACACTTCCTTCAGACTGAACATGTATGTACACTATCATGGTATGCACAGTTTTATATTTTGATTTCTTGAGTGACATCATGAAAAGCTGCTGTCCCCCTGGGACTAACCCAGCTCTGCCTGTGTTCAGATGACTTAGTGTTTGTCTGCTTCTGGAGTGATGCGTATGTGGCAATTGCTCTTCCTCTGTTCTGGTCCTCACCCTCTCTCAGGCACTGTGAAGCTCTTAGGAGCCATATAAATACATTACTTTTACTTGCTTTTTTACACTACAAATGTATTTGGGTTTATGGCATTTCTTCTACCCACATAACCTGAATTTTTCCTGCTAATTTCACATATTCATTCTCTGTGGAAAGACCTGTGAGTCAGTCTTTGCTTTTCTGCATTTGGAGATGAATTTGAAATTCTTGAATCCAATTAGAGTCTCCCTGTAGACATGCAAGCCTTTTTCATTTCATGTTCTTCTGCTTTACTTGTCCTTGTGGAACTAGCAGTGAAATTATTATGGAGCATCCCTATTCACATATCTGTATATCATTATGTATCAAGCAGTCCCACCTATCAGGGATGTGAATGTAGCACTCAGACAAAGAAGATAGGTTATTTTGTGTGTGTGTCCATATTATTTATGTATCAGCATAGGAGATATTTAGATATAGACACCATACCCCAGTAATCTGAAGTTCCTCTTTAGGCGATGAAGTGGTACGTCAGAGAAAATGACTAGCTCTTGTTACCATCTGACCAGAGCAGAATACCTGAAAATGGTGCATCCACTGTATATATGTGTGCTAACAAAAGGGCAGATGTGGATACTAGTAGAAAAGGTATCATCAAGCTTTTTGTAGCAATCTTAAGCTTGAGCATTCAAATTGAGGGATGAAAGTGCCTTCTGAAGTGATAATTAATATTTTATGTTTTATATCCAAGTAGAAAATCATGGTAGTTTAATGAGACAAGCAGTACTATTTTTACATATATAGTGTAATCAGCTGTGAACATTTTAAAATCTTTAGGAGGGCCATTATGATGCTGAGAAGCTGAATTAAAAGCATGATTTAAAAAAATATACCAGACTGAGTTTGCATTGTTCTTGATTTGAAACTTTGTGTTTTGACAATTCCAAACCTTTCAAGAAATGCAGGGGCTAAATGTTTAGTTTAAAACTCCATTAAGTAGAAATTTTCAAGTAAATTGTTTGCCTCCAAGTTCTGAAGCTTTTATGAAAATAATAAATGAAATTGCAGGATTTCAAAGTATAAAAATCACAGACATTTCATAATCAAAGTGAATTCCTCCACAGACTAAGTGTAATATGTGGTCTTTTCTTCCCAGTGTTGGCATTGGGATAATGACCTTCCCAACAAGTGACATCAGCCACTCATTGTAAGTCTCTCTGAAGATCTTGCACCCCCTTGGTCACCTCCCTCTGGACACACTCCTTGAGCTGAGCTCCCAGAGCTGTGCACAGAACTTGAGGTGAGGCTGCACCAGCACAAAGAGGGACAATCACTTCTCTTTCCCAGCTGCTGATGCTGTGCCTGAGGCACCCCAGAACACTCCAGTTGCCTTCCTGGCTGGCAGGACACTGCTGGCTCATATTCAACTTGCCATCAATCCAAACTCCCTCTTGTTTTTCCATGAGGCTGCTTTCCAGGCTCTTGTCCCCCAGCTTGTACATACAACCTGGATTACCCCATCACAGGTAGAAAATCCATCACTTGCTCTTGTTCAGCTTCATGTAGCTGATGATTGCCCATCTCTCTAGTTTTATCTATATCTCTCTGTAAGGCCTCTCCACCTCTGAGGAAGTTCACAGCTTTTCCTCCTTTGGTAACATCAGCAAAGTACTTAACAGACTTTTGATTTCTGTGTCCAGGTAATTTCAAATAAAAACATCAAAGAGCACTGGCCCTAAAACCAAGCCCCATGAAGCCTACTGGTAACTGTCTGCTAGCCTGATGTGATGTGATTTAGTACCCATCTACCCATCAGTCAATTTCTCACCCAGCATGTTATAGACTTTCCTAGCTGTGTGCTGGACATTTCAGCAGGCTACTCTGAGAGATGGTATTTCAATCATGCATAATGAATCTTTCATTAAGTGCTGTACATTGCATCCTCTCCATAATATAACATGTTTTAACTATTTGTATTCACAACAGAGCGTGAAACTTCTTTATTCAGTACTTAAGACTGTCAAATAAAGTTTTCCTGAGTTGTCTATAAAATTTGCATTGAATCTCACTTCTTCTAGTTCTACTCTGTGAATTGTTTTCCTATGTCTAACACTGCAGAGATGACTCACCTGTGATGGGTGATAATCTTGACCCCTATAAAGTAGTTTTATAAAAAGAAAAGTATTTCAGTTCTTTTCTGTGCTGAGAGACAGACAGCTGCTGATGCTCTGTCTGTCGGGTTTTGTTCAGTGACAGAGGGAAAGGGAGGCTCTAGCGAATGAAGGGTCACTGTACCAGTATGGAAATATTAGCATGTGGCACTGATAAATAATTGTGATTGCTATATTAAAAACATTCTAAACACAAATGCTGAGATTAAAAAATGCATTTTTTCAGTTGTTTTGAGGGGGGAAAAATGCTGATGCATTTCCAAATAGGGTTGCAGTTTTTATAGGAACTTCTGACACACCACAATAATCCCCTTAGTGTTACATTCATGCAAGTAATTAACAATTAGTTAACAATTAGTTAAGAAATGAGTAATGTGTGGTAATACACAAATAGTTTGACTGTATAGTCCAAACTATATAGATAACAATTAGTCTTTCAATAAGAGTCTTCTTTTGTGTGATAAGAGTGCCGTGCCTTTGTGATGTGATGATGGCTAAGGTTCTGACACATACCAGCCTTAGAGACAGTCAGTGATGCTCATTGTCAAAATGCCACAGCACAGCTAAGCCACAGTGACTTGTACATTTTACTCTGCAACAGGCCTAATCCAACTTAATTTGGTAAATTAATGTAAACTTCCTTTGAGTCCTCTGCAGAATCAAGCACTGTCAAAGGGATTGTTCAAGGCTCCACTATGCAGAGGAAAATTCTTCAGAGGAAATCTGAAGAAAGCAGATAGATCTGGATGGGAGATTCAAAATAACTATGTTTTGTAGGAAGGACATATCTAATTAAGACATAAATGGAAATATTTTGCAGGAAATTTTGAATGTTCAACAACATAAAAGAGTAATGACTTTGTAATTGAGCTATATATAGAAAATGCCATTTGACATTTTAGTCGTATTCAAAATACCTAATTCTCAGTGTGCATGCTTGAGATTTAGGTACTTGCTATGCCAAGTAAAGGAATTATCAGCGAAGTAAAAGTGAAATGAGCTCTGATTTATTGCAGTCCAAAGGTAGAGGAACACTAGAAAAGGTTACCACATTTGTCACAGCAGTTTTCAAAGAGACAGTAAAGTAATGTACATTGATTTGTTGGCTTTATGGACAAGACTATGAACATATGAGCTTTTTATTTTGAGCTTTGGCAATTGAGAAATCACCGCAAAAGATATTCAGCAGAAAAGCCAATACTGGCCTTAAACTTGCACCATTATGCTAATGATTCCTGTCTGTGATACATTTCAAGAACACGTTTCTTCTAGGATTCCCCAGAACATTGCTGATCTGAAAATTGAGTCTTCCATTGTTTTTTGTTTTCTGCTTGCTTGTGCAGACATCAATGATGTTGAAACAGTGATGCCTGTTCTGGCACTCCTATCAAATCCGTGGTTTTCAGAATAGAATGTGCTATGTACTGGAGTCCCAGAGCATGTTGCTCCCCTGTGACCTCTCCTTCAAAGAAGCTTTGCTTACTTTCAGCTCTTGCTTTTGTTTATTTCAGCCTAAGGAAAAGTTCTCTGTGAAGAAGTTTGTCTTTAGTCTACTTTTTCCCTCCTTCCAGCAGAACACTATTTATTTTACATTACTTTTCCATTCAGATACATTTAGAATGTCCACTAAAAGAGGGACACTCAAGGAACTGCTGTCTTGTTTTTCTCTGTTCCATCTTTCTTTTGAACTCCCTTGACACTAGTCATGAGGACGCGGTGAAAAAGTACTGATTAGCAGGAAACATCATGAACTAAGAGAAGAAAAGTCAAACTTTTTGAGAAGTCTATCTAGACATAATAATGTTGTAGCAAACTGGAGCTGACTACAAGTGTGGCTAGTGCTTTGAACAGCTGTGTGAATTGGGGCTCCCTGAGGGAAACAGTGACATGGTCAGCATGAGTTGTTCAATATTATTTTCCATTCAAACTTCACACTCTTGCAAAGGCATAGAAAGTTAAAAACACTTTGCTGTTCAGACATGGAATTTTCAGGATACAGAGAAAACATCTACAGAGCCTTATCTTTGCTATCTCTTGATCTGCTTGGAAGCAGAAGCATTTGGGAATTTGCAGTTATCTGGTTCCAGCAAGACGTCACTAAAGTGAAAGGAGTTCTTTGCATTACTTTGCCTCTCTTTGCCTTTCTGGCTATAAATGGATGAACATTCAAGACTACATTTTGAAATGAAAATATCACTTTTTCAGTGTTAAGTGGTCAGTTAATATGCATCTAAACAGAAAGACTTATTACAGTCTCAGCCAGAAACCTTGGCTCTGACTCCTGCTTAAATGGTGATTACTGTTGTGGCTGACTGTTGGGTGACTAAATGAGGAACATCCGTCACTAAAGGTGCAAGATGGTTTAGGTTAATCTTGGATCTGTAGGCTCCCTGTCTGGGTTTATTGTCAGTTTGCATGATGCAGAGATAGAGGATAGGAAGGAGCCATTGTTTTTGGATCAGAGTTGATTCATTCTGTTCATCCCTTCAAAAAAAATTTGTACTCTTTGTGGCTGGCTCAAGCCAGGATGCTGACAACAGAAAAAAATTTGCCATTGTGTTTCTAAGAGGCACAAGTCATTCAATTCCTGATGAGCTGTTCTTAAAACATATTTCTGCTGTAAAGAGTTTGTCAGCATCCTCATCTCCAGACAGTCAGATATGCTGTTCAGGCTGTGTCAGTAGCCTAATTAACATATTTTCTCCTGCTAGGAGTTACAGCAACCATTCTGAAATATTTTAAACTCATTTCTCGAAGACCCACATTAGTCCATCTTTAGACTGTTGAGCAGCACATCAGCATTGCTAGGAAAGTTTAAAGATGACACCTCTGGTGCCTGCAATGTCTGTGCCTGTATAAGATTTATTTCCTGTGTCTTGCACTGCAGTGTTGCCCGTGTTTGGTGTGAGGTGAGGCAGCAGGGAGCAGGGGCTGATTGATGGGGAGTGGCACTGCATTGCCTGGCAGCTGGGAGCTGCTTAGTGACTTCAGCACAGCATCGGTTCAGGCCCCCACTTAACAAATTTCAGTTACCATCAGTTACGAGCACTGAGGGAGAAGGGGGGCACAGGAGACACACTTCACCCTGTGCCTGGCCTTTTCCAGTTCATTTAAGAGTATTACAGTGGTTATATAATGCAGTGTCCCGGGAGGCATGGGCAGCAGATAGCGTGCAGGAGGTTTCCTGACCGGAGAAATTCTGGCTTATGAGCTGTTATTGGGCAGCCTTGTCCCCTACCCTCCTGAACTGATTTATTGTCAGATCACAAAGCAGTACAAGCTACTTTTATTCTCTCGATTTTTCTGATAGGATGTTAAGATTGTATTTAGTCACAGGGTATGATAAGCTCTATATGGCTTATCTGTAGGTTATGTAATGCTCCACAAACACAGGCTGCGGTCTCAGTTGGTCCTGGGCTGGCTGTGCAGGGCTTATGCTGTAACACTATTGCCATGGCCCATATTTATCCATTTGTTTAGAAAGAGCTCGTCCATTTCCATGGTCTTTATAAAAGGTGCTAAGGACAACTCTTAAGAAGCCAAGGCATCTGGAATAAGTATTTTTTTCCTTTTTTATTTTTTAAGCTATAATGTTACATACATATAATGTGAAAAGTGAAAATGAAATAGTTGTTATCAGTGTTTTGCCATTCCTAAACTTTCATGTACCTTGGTGAGACCCATTTTAAAATATTTAAGATCATCTTTCTTACCAAAAGCTGATACAGTATTCAGTAATAAAAACCTCGAGCAGCTGAATTCTCGGAAAGCTGAACTTAAAGATTATTATTGAAATTTAACCCTGACAGAATTTTTAAGCTGTTTTCTTTGTGCTTTATAAGCACTGCTCTTTGACAGTTAAAAAATCTGTTTAATAAATGTGAACTCAAACCAGATATTGTTGTAGGTATTTATAAACTTTGTATTCCTTCTGCAGTTTATATATCTTATTTTCTTTGTAAAGCACTAGTTTTTAAGGCAACTTTAGTATTTCCTTAAGGTACTCAAAGGCTAGTTAGAAGACTTTTGCTCCTTATTAAAAGAAAGAAAATAATAGGTACGGAAAAAGAACCATAGGTATGGAATGATAGTATACTGTTTGGATATTGTTTAAGACATTTTTCCTGAAAGAAGCTTGTATATGGAAATGTTTTTCAATATGTGTTTTTTTTCAAGTTGGTACAAACTGCCTTATGATTGTATACCTTTTGTAATATCACTGTTTCTGAAATACGTTTCTTGCAAACACAGCATCTTATGGCCTAGCAGTACTATAATGATAATCAGGAAGAGACTGTGGATGTTGTGGATGTTGTCTGCCTGGACTTCAGCAATGTCTTTGACATTGTCTCCCACAGCACTGTCCTGGAAAATGACAAGTGCAGCCTTCATTTTGTTAAGATGACCAGGCTGGATAGCCAGACCTAGAGGGTGCTGGTGAATTCAGTTGGCATCCAGGTGCTGGCAGCATTTCCTAGGGATCAGTGTTGGGCCCAGTCCTGATTAATATCTCCCTTGGTGATCTGGATGAGGAGAGTGAGTGTGTCCTCAATAAATTCACAGATGACACCAAGCTGGGCAGTAGTGTTGATCTGCTGTAGGGCTGGAAGGCTCTGTGAGGGGACCTGTTTAGGCTGGAGACCAGCGCCAAGGCATTCAACAAGGCCAAGTGCTGAGATCTGCTCTTGGGCTACAACAACTCCAAGCTGGGGCAGAGTGACAGGAAAGTGGTCCAGCAGAAAAGGATCTGGGGGTTCTGGTGACAGCAGCTGAACATGAGCCAGCAGTGCCCAGAGGGCCAAGAAGGCCAATGGCATCCTGGCCTGTACCACCAAGTGTGGCCAGCAGGAGCAGATAAGGGATTATCCCCCTGTCCTTGGCACTGGTGAGGCCACACCTCCAATCTTGTGTTCAATTTTGGGCCTCTGAGTTCAGGAAGGAGACAGTGAGATACAGGAGTGTATCCAGAGAAGGGAAATGGAGCTGGTTTGGAGCACAGGTCCTGTGAGTAATGGCTGAGGGAGCTGGAATTGTTTAGCCTGGAGAAAGTAGACCGAGGGGCGACCTTGTCTCTCTAACAACTGCCTGGGTGGGGGTCAGCCTCTTTTTCCAGGAGGAAAGAATGTAGTTCTAAGGTACACGAGGGGAAGTTTAGGTAGGGAAGCAGGAAGAAATTCTTCGCAGAAAGGGTGATCAGATATTGAATGAGCTGCCCAGGGAGATGATGGAGTCACTATCCCTGCGGGTGTGTAAGGAAAGACTGAATGTGACATTCAGTGCCATGATCTAGTTGACATAGTGGTGTTCAGTTAGAGGTTGGACAATCAGGTTTTTTCCATCCTAATTGGTCCTGTGATAATACAAGTATCAACCTTAACAATGTCCTTTTGAATCTGGTGGCTCTTGCCATTCACTTGAGTAATTTCTCCTGTTCCTAATCTAGTAGAAAATGATGCTTCAGCCACCGATCACAATACCAATGTGACTACTGTGAAAGATCAAAAAATTTGAGAATCCACTACTGCAATGGAGCCAATTAACCAATAGTCTACAAATTACCTGTGTGCAGCAAACATTTATTTCTCCCAGGATTATTTCCATTGCAGCCATGAGCAATGATAGAGCAGTGGCCCTTCTTGCAGCTACTTATAGATGGTGAATAGTGTTTCAAAAGCTTTCAGATCTTGTAGAAGTTCTTTTCATCAGGTTTTGACAGATGAAATTTTGATAGCTGTAATGCTAGTATGCATTGGGAAAGTACAATATTTAAATAGAAGTTAATTGCTTACCTTTGAAGGCTTACCTGTGAGCTTTCTGTGATGTGATTTAAGTGCTTATTTATGTTATGAATATACCACTTTCTGTTTGAAAGAGAATGTTCCTGTGTTGAAAAGCTTCTGTTATGCAGATGCTATTAAAATCATAGTTTCCACAGAAGTGCTACTAGAATTTAAACATGAAAAGTAAGAATTTGTGATAAAAATTATTATCATTCTGTAATTTAGATGATTCTCAGATTCAGACCCAGAAACTAATTTATAGAGGAAAGACTATTTGTTTCCATTTCTGAATACATCAAAACTTTGCAAACTGCAACTGCACTAAAGTGACATTCTAACTTGTCATGGACTCTGTACTCTGATTCTTAGGGTACTGGCTTATTAATTGATGCTTTGAATACAAGTTATCAGTTTGCAAGCATGGGGATATAAGATTTACAAATAAGATATTCCAAAAGTAGCTATCATGACAAGATAAAAGATGAGTAAGCACTGAAGATGTGAAAAGTTAAAGAAGCTCAAGATGTCACAAAAATGTTCTGTCCATATAAGAAAAAGTGCCATTAAGTAGGCTTTGATCAAGTTACAGGAGCCAAATTTTTGTGCGGAACTATTGCTTTAGCCATGCAATAGTTTTATCAGTCACTCCAGCATTTGTAAATAATTTCTACAGATAAATTAGACTGCAATAAAGAAGTTGGATAATCTTGCAACAGTATTGCCACTTTTTCTTTCTTTCCTTTGACTTTTCCATGTCAAAATATTCTCAGGAGTTACCTGTGACAGGATGTAGACTACGCACTAAAGTGGACTCTCAATAAATTAAAATGTCCAGTGTAGATAGACATGTGGAAAAGATTTGGAACCAAGTATGAGTAATCAATGAACACATTTTTACCATAAGCTGTTTCAGCAGAATATGGTATCTTGCTTACTGTATTCAGATGCTGAAAGAAAAATCTCACTAAAATCAGAAATGAGAAGATTTTAATAAAAAGCTGGTGGACTCATAGCAAACTCTAGGACTTGTACTTTGAATAAAGATTTTTTTTTCAAATATCCCATTGAAAATATGGCAGTGAATCTTCTGCTGTTTTTGTGTAAGCCAGTGTCTTACCACTTGAGATTTCTCATAGGAAAGGATGAGATATGCATTAAAATTGAGAGAGCTAGAAAATTGAGATACATAGATTTGGAAGCATGTATTTTACTTGATAGAATACATGATGATTACAGAGCTTGGGATGTGTCTCGAGTAAACCCATTTCCTACCAGAACACATTTTTGATCTAAATAAGAAAAAAAATTACACCATTGTCTATAACAATTGTTCCTTCACAAAGTGTATTCCCCGTGTATAAAAATTTTAGATGGGAAATATCAATCAGTTACGGAGTAAAATGTAGACAAGGTGTGCTCTACAAAAGTTGAGAATGTAAAATTTCTATGCTTTTAATCTCCTTAAGAGAGATTAAAATGGATGTTAAGAATAGTAATTATTTTTGATAAGGAATTATTTAGAAATAATGTCTTTTTTCCACTGGAAAACAGTAGGCTTTTAGAAATATTTCCTTAATGTTCTAAACATTCCTCAAGTTGGACATAGCAACGGGGTTCAGTAATGGCAGCAGTTGTGGCTTTCACCGGCCTTACAGTGGTTATCTTTTTGCATGTATGGGTAATCCGCAACCTAAATTGAACCCAGCTGTCTTAGCTGGTTATTTAACTGCTGCAGCTTCTGGAATAAGCATGTGTTCGGCAAAGGCTTCCTGGGGATTATCCATGGCTGTGAAAGGAAATTGCAAAACTCTGATATGTGCCTCACAGTACTGGAAAAAGTAATTTTTGATTACTGATTTGGGCCAAATAGGTGAATTTGATTCAACTGCCTTCTGATTTTGATGTGTAATGATTTTGCCACTCATCTTGAAAGCTTTTCTTTATGTGCCCTCTTCATAGGTACTTAATTTTTTTTTTTTTAGAGATTAAACTCTTAAAAATTGTGCTTATTTAAAAAATATAAAAGAAAAAAAAAGAAGATGAAAAAAGAAAGGAAAAACTTTGAAATCTCTGCAACTAGCCAAAAGCAAAATTCCCGGAAAACTAATGTCTTAAAGATGACATTCCCTTCCCTCTCTGTGTCAACTGGTATCAAAATGGAACATTGTCTCCAAATAATTTCTGTGATTCTTTTTTAAACTAAAACATAGATTTTGGGGAATTCCAGAAAGTCCATGTTTTAGAATAATTTTGCATGCTTTCTAGACTCAAAAATGTATAAACTTCTTTTGTTTTTAATTTTGAGTCTGTGGAACCTGCCATATGTATGAATAATGTTCCTCTAACCATCTCATATCTCATCTGCAGAATATGCAGTTTAAAAGAACATTCCTTTAGAATGGCTTTTGTAGTCTTCCTAAATTCCTGTCTGTTAATATCTTGAAAGGATTTTTCCTATGGTTGGTCTTCATTTTAGATTTCTCAATGGAGCTTCATTTTGAAATTATGTTTTATAGCAGGAACTGTATGGATTGCGTGTCAGTCCCTTATCAGTTCGTGATGATTTCTAGTTGTTGGCAAAGTCTGACTCTTCCACTCTGTTAAAGTTTTAACCTGCATATAAATCAGGACCACAGGAGGATGTTTTCCCTTCTTATTTTCTTGGATTCTAATTTCTGTTTTTCTTAATTAAAACCATAGCCAGAGGAGAAGTTAGAAGATCATGACCCATACAGGTTTTCCACTTTATGGTAGTAGAGTTTTTGTCCTTTACTTGGTGGAATACATGGTGGTTATAGAGCTTGGGATGTGTCTCTTTTATAGACACAAACAACTTTCTTTAAGAAATATTGGTTGTTTTGGGATTTTTCCCCCCCCTCAGCATTTGAATAGAGGTTGTATTTTGGACTTTTGGGCTGGTGGGAGTGCAGGATTCTGTTTTTCTCACTTAGTAGAGAGTGAGTGCTCTTCTCTGGAAATTAATTAACAGACCATCGTCAGTCAAGCTGGTAGATGGGATTAAACAAGCAGAGTTGACATGCTTGTGGTAGAACTCCATTTCTGCTTAAGTTTTTTATTTTTCCTAAAAATAAAACTACTAGGTAATCTTCACTGTGACAGGAACTGTCAGCTTCTTAAGTAGAATTTTAACTTCCTATATTAAATATAAAAAATTATGATCAGAAAATTTCAGGGAATTTAACTCCAGGAGGTATATTTCAGACGTGTTTTTTCCTCCATAGGCTAAGTTCTCTTGTGGGACTAAGCTGTGTGAAAATGGGTATGGTCTGGTATGCTGTGTTTACTGTGCTTAAAGGGCCTTCCAGAGAAGGTATGGCTGTATGAGGCTCTTAGATTTTATTTCTTGAGGACACCATAATACCTTTTTCAAGATTTCTACCTAGAAAAGTGTAAAGATATGACTATATTTGATTTGATGCTAATAAGAAAATTTTAAGGTAATTATCAGACAGGAAAAGTAGCTTCATTCCTCAGTCTACTAGGAAGTCTCAAGACAAGGAAAGATGAAGATGATACTTTGAAAATTATGTAGATGTTACTTCTTAATTAAGTCCTTTGAATTAAAGAACTAATAAATTTTTTTCTTTTTGCAGAGTAATGCCTTTTATCAATCTTTATACAGGAAGCAGATAAATTTGTTTCAGTAAAACCTGGCCAGTTAGTAACTGAGAAAAACTGTGGACAATTTATTTAGCCGAGAGCACGCAGCTCTGAGTTTAAATCACCTGATAATGTGGTGGAAACACCACTTTTGTGACATAGTATTTTCATAGTATTTTACTGTATTTTCTTTTTCTTGCTGCTGATTTGTTTCTCAATATATGCAGGCAAGTAATGACTGTGTCATGTCTGCTTTCCTAAAACATAATAGCTGCTAAAATAGTGTGTAATGTAGATGTCTTTCAATGTCTGCCATCCTGTAATTTCTGCATTTATCTTCTGCACACTATCAGAAACAGAGACATAAAAAGAGACTAGCCCATTTTTTTCTTTTACACAGTGGCTTTGGATTTACCTGCAAGAGTCAAAAAGTCAGTGTGTATATCTGTCACCTTTGCATTCCCATACTCAGGTCAAGTGTATTCCAGTGCTTGGAAGCATGTTTGATTGTTGGAACCTGGGTATTTTGAGGGGATGTAGTCTTATTTTGAGTACAGAATTATTTAAATTGCCCAGATGAAGTGATTTGAAATCTGTCATGAGATACATCTATCTGTTGCTTTATTCAGACACAGGTAACAAAGAACCTCAGCTAATGGGAAAAATTTCTTCCCAGCACTTAATATCTGAATCTATTATTAACATGCTCCTGACTTCAATATCCAAGAGCAAACCAAATCATCCACCTTTTGCCCCACTTTCCCACTTGTAAAAATAGTGTGATGACAATTGTTCATCTTGAAATCCTTTTTGCATTACTACTTGGATGTCATCCACTGTACCTCTAAAATTAGTCTTTTACCACTTTCCGCAAAGAAAAATATATACAGAAGCAATACTAAGGAAATTCCTCACTATGTAACACAATGCAATGATACTGTGCAAACTTTAGGGAATACAGCAAGGTTTATCTGCTAGATAAGTAATTTTAACTGCTTATACAACCAAGCCTGAGCCTCTTTGTATTTCTCGAGAACTAGAGAAAAACCTTTTGTGCTTTTTATCATTAATTTTTAATTTTGTAGGGGTTTTGTTGTTGTTTCGTTTGTTGTTTGTTTTGGTTTTGGGTTTGTTTTCTTGTTTGTCTATTTTTTAAAGGGGCATTGGAGACGCAGTTACTTCATTGGGCTTTTTATTCCGACAGAAATCATAATTGGAAAGCAAGGAAAAAATAGACATTTTTACTGCAGTGTTGTGAAGTTTACAGATGCAAAACATCCTCATATCATCTGGTATAGTCTTTTCTAGGCTTCTTTGAGATCCACACTTTCTACCATTTAGAGATTTGGGTAGATGTTTATTTTGAGTTAAGAAAAAGGAGGAAAAAGTCTGAAACATTAAGCGTATTCCAGAACAGATCTCTGCACTCTACAATAAGAAACTTTTTGCCATAGCTACTCTGTTAGGAGGGAACATGACTTAACCATACTTGTAAGTTATATCAGAGGAGCCATCACTTGTTATGAAGTAGTTAACTTTTTGGACTCAAATAAGGTATGGTTTTGAGATATTTAGAGTTTTATCCAGCAAAATAAAAATGTGCTATGGAAAAAGTGATGTGGAGGTTATTGCTTGGCTGATGGCAGTATTTCAACAAATAAAAAAATAAACTGAATAAAATGTTGTAAATCACAGTAAATCAGTCTCACTACAAACTAGCATGTTTTGTCTCACTAAAAGCTTTCAAGTTTTTTTGTTTGCTGCTATATTAAGCAGACAACAGCTGCTAGCTGGGATGCATATAGGTCTGTAGTTATGCTTATAATGAGTCACTCTGATAATGCTTACCTTTGGGTTACTTAAAATAAATTATCACACCTATTCATTCCTGTATCTGACACTCATCTGCTCATTATACCATTTCTTCAGTCTGAATTTCTCACTAGAAGATACAATGTAATGGCCTCATAGCAGTGAAGCTTCTTAAATTGTTATATTTTCCATTTCAAGGCTTAAATGCTTATTATTCTTGGTCCATCTAAGTTTTCTCTTTCTCATCTAAATTCTTTTACCATATAAGATGGTAAAGATTCTGCTTTCAAACTGCTAATAGAGCAAACTGTCCACTTAAGCATAAACTAAAAATTTAGGATTTCATAGGAATTTGATAAAACACAATGTTTTATAATACAAATTCAATGAGACCTGAAGTAATAGATACTCTTGGTGTTTTGGTATTGAGGAATAAGAACAGAAAAAAATCCCGTTTCAATCACTAGGCTGGCTCCCCTTTGGTTTTTCCTCATCTGTTTGGATGAGTTTGCACTGGTCTTGGATAATCGTCATCACTTCTTTTGGGTGAAATCATGTCACTTTTGCTTCCTCCAGTTGGAGGATGAGTCAGCCACAGTTGCCTGACAGCTGATGTTTGGGTACTTCTTAGAGTAAGGTCAGTCTTATTTTCTTTGACTGAAGAGCTTGTGCTCAGGCATTGATGGGCACAAAGATCAGTAATGAAAAGATCCATCTGTTATTTTTCATTTGGGGCACATCAGGGATCAGGCAGATCAGATCATTAACTTATAAGCCAGTTTTGTTCCTGCACAGGTTTACCCTTCTCTGAGGGTATGGAAGGATCTTGAAATTCTCTACATAATAGGACTTGGCTAGGTTTTGTGAAGGTGCTGCATGTCAGTATTAGGAGATGGTTACAGTGCAGTTGGAGTTTGAGTTTGTAAGGTAGCTAAAATTGTCT